TTTTTTCCTTCTGTTTTAACAAGGTAGGCTTTTTGTCATTTTACGTGAAATCCAATGTAGAAATTACAGCTGTGATGTGGGTATCGAGTTCATTTATCTCCCCTCCCCCCCCCCGGGCCCTACGTCCAGGCGGCCTCCGAGTCAGCAGTAGATCATGATTCTGCAAATTGCTGGTTGTTGGGTTGGGAGGGGGAGAAAGGCGAAGTGTGCTTCCTCCTCTCCTTAGGACGTGATAGGGCATCGCTGCACTACTCTCCACATGCACAACAGACAAAAAGTACAGCGGTGCATATTTCCATGTTCTAGCGGAAGATTCGTTCTCATTTCTCGCATTTGGAGAGTAGTGCAGCGAGGCCCATAGACTAGCAAATGGGAGCTGGAGGACTCTTTTCCATTCTTTTGTTTTTGTTTTTCCACTCTCTTTCTCTATGTGTGTATCAAAAATAGGACCATCTTCATATTTGCTAAATTACTATTTAATATTTATTGTCTTTGCTAAGCTGGAGCTGGTTCACCGTTCAGGTCATGTTTCTCTCTACAGTCCATGGAAGCGTCGGAGGAGAGAAGTGACAACGTCGTTACAGGTGTGTACGACGGTGCGTGTGTGAGAGAGGCACTTGAGAACTTAAAGTTAACCCCATTTATTTACTAGAAAGTCTAGAAGGCTTTTTTTACTTCTTTTTTTTTTTTTTTTTTTTTTTTTTTTTTTTTTTTTTTTTTTTTTTTTTTTTTTTTTTTTAACGTGAAGGCTAAGTTTTCTATTGTCTAGAAAATATAAGGGAGGGAAGTTGCGACAGGTTTATAGCAGCAGCGTGTATAGGGTGTACGAGAGAGAGAGACTTGGGAGCTTATACCCCACGCCGCCCACGGGGGGATGGAGGAGGAGGGAGGAAGACTCGGAAGAGGAGAATAGATTCACCAAACGAAGAGAGGGAAGTCAAGAGGCTTGTTGAAAAAAAAGAGTAATTGCCAGAGAGTAGAAGACCGTACGTATATTTTATTATTTTGGTCTTTTTATTATGCTGTTAGGGCAAGGTCCCACCTACGGTGATGCTTTTTTTGAAATTTTTTCTATTTTGTTCTGGTTCCCTTCTCTGGCGGTGGTTGATCATTGCAGTAGACAATGGGAACCTGCAATCGGGATATGTGGCTATGGACATCGGGTGTACAAATCCTACCTTCTTTTTTTTTTTTCTTTTTTTTTTTTCTTTTTTTTTTCCAAATCCTACCTTTTTTGAAGTTTTTTCTTTTCCATTTTTTTTCGTTTTTCCCTTTCCCTGTCGTTTGCCTTCCGCTTTCGGCCGTTTCCACATTACTGGACCTCTCCTATAAAATACCCCTCGGAGCCCTCTCTCCTCTCTTTTTTTTTTTTTAATTTCTTCCTTTTTTTTTTTTTTTGTGTGTGCCCCTGCTTTCTTAGATAGATAGGCTGTAAGCTCAATTATTGTGCAAAATACAAAAAGCAGAGCTCTAGGCAAGCCGTAGAGAGTGTTTCTTCTTTTTTTTTTTTTTT